ATTCTGGGCGTTCTGCTCAGGAGTGACCCCTGGCGGTATTCTGAGGAACCACAAGTGGTGCTGGGGGTGGAACCAGGTGATTTGCAAGCTGCCTGCAAGGCAAATGCCTCCCTATCCCTTCGGCCCCTGCTTGTACTCAGACGGCTGGAAAACGACTTCACAAAGACACATCACCTCACGGAAAAGGGGCGACGGGGGCTACAGAGTCCCTGTCTGTCCCCTTGGGAGGTCCCTACAGTTGGGGAACCCCAATAAACATTTTCTATACACCCAGCCTAGCTTCCCCCCCTTTTTTTTACTGCCAGTGTTTTATTCTGGGGGCTTTCTTCTCAGGGGTGGGTCGCACCAAGTGGTGCCCTGGGCTTCCTCCTAGCTCTGTCCTCAGGTGTCACTCCTGGTGGTGCTCAGGGGGCCACATGTGGCATGGGGACTGACCCAGGTGCTGTGCCCAAGGCAAGCGCCTTAAGCTGGTCCTGCCAGCATTAGATCCTCTTCCTGGAGTCCTCCTGGCCCCTGCTCTTAGTCCCTGAGGCAGAGGTGGCACACAACCCCGTCCCAGCCTCCAGGGTGGACACGCAGACATGGCCATCAGTGTCCTGATAACAGGTTACGCAATGGATGAGTACAGGAGCACATGAGGCAATGCGAACCAGCCCTAACCGTTGGCTGATGGGGGCTCAAGGAAAGAGGCTCTGGCGCCAGGCTGACACGGTGGGCCGAGCTCAGTGTGGGGCTTCCAAGAACCGCCAGGATGGACCCCTGAGCGCAGAGTCGGGATAAGCCCTGAGCAGAGCTGGGTGGACCCAAACAGAAGGAAGGAAGGAAGGGAGGGAGGGAGGGAGGGAAAGGAGGAGGGGAGAAAGGAGGGAGAGGGAGGAAGCAGGGGAGGGGAAGGGAGTAAGTAAAGGGAGAGGAGGGGAGGGGAGGGAAGGGAGAGGAGGGGAAAGGAGGAGGGGAGGGGAGAGGAGGCCCCTTGGCAGCACACAGGGCCCCTCTGCTCCTCAGGAAGGGCAGCCCAGGGCATCCAGGCGCTCTCCCCGCTGTTTGCAGGCCGCCTTTGGTTTGCAGATCAAGAAACAAGCTCAGGTGAGGCCAAAACAGACTGGTCCGAGCCTGGGCCTGACCCAGGCGTCTTGACACCCCCCACCCCACCAGTCCAGGGCCTCCCAAAACCCTGATCTAAAGAAATGTCCCAGGCAAGGCAAGAGCAAGGCGGAGCAGAGGCCAACCTCAGAGCTGCCTGGGAGGGGACTCTGGCGGGTGACACGGCTCCAATCCCCAGCCTTACCTTGCTCCCTGAGCACAGAGTCAAGAACAGCCCCTGAGCACCTTTGGGTGGGGCCCAAAAACGCCAAAGCCAAGACCAAACACCCAGCACACCAAGACATGCCTGGGTGGTGCAGGAGCCCGGCCTGGCATCACGGCCTAGTCTGAGTCCTTGGCCAGCACTTACTGCCCTGGGGTTTGGGGTCAGGGTCGGCTTCAGGGACATTTCAGCGGGGGGTGGGAAGTGACTGGTGGCTGACTGGCAGGGGTTGGCTGGTGGGTCAAGCAGGCACCCAGGGTCCAACCCCTGGGCCACAGAGTGTGTCCCGCCACCTGAGCGTTTCTGGCCGCTAACAAGCTGTGCCGAAACTACGTTCTTCCCAACCATTCTCTGCCAGCAGCACAGAGGCCTCAGGACGGATCGCAAAAGCCCAAATCACTCAAGGCATTACAGGCCACCGGGCACCCACAGCTGCCCCAGGCTGCCCCTGGCCCGTCACCCCCAGGAGGGCACCCTGCGAGGTGACACGCTGCCTAAGTCACCTGCCCCAGCGGATGCGACAGCCTGCCTGAACAGAGCCCCAAAGGTCCTAACCTTAGTCTCAGCGGCCACTCGACCTTGCCCCAGCATTGGGGTCGACCCTGGCACAGATGACCGCAGTCGAAGGGAAACAACCCTTTCCTCTAGAAAGTCCCAGAGATTCTGACTTTTGGGGCTGGAGTGATAGCACAGCGGGTAGGGCGTTTGCCTTGCATGCGGCCCGACCCAGGTTCGATTCCCAGCATCCCATATGGTCCCCTGAGCTTGGCCAGGAGTAATTCCTGAGTGCATGAAGCAGGAGTAACCCCTGTGCATTGCTGGGTGTGACCCAAAAAGCAAAATAAATAAATTAAAAAAAAAATAAACCAGAGATTCTGACTTTTGAGTCATTTTGGGAGAAATGGCCTTTCAAACCCACGAGAGCCTGAAGTTTCGGTTTCCTCTTTACCTCCATGGGAAACCCAGGTGAGGCGGGCATGTGCCTCGCCTGCCTCAGCCTTGAATTCGACCTGGGGCTGCAGAAATAAGCAAACATGGAAATAAGAAAATAAAAAGGAGGCGCCGAGGGCCGGGCACAGCTGTGCTGTGAGTGAGGGATCACACCACTCCTAGGAAAATAACTGCAGTGCTGGGAGGAGACCCGGGGACTGGAGGACGGCTGTGCACGTGTGAGCCCCAAGTTCAATCCCCAGCACGGCACAGCTCCCTGAGCACTGCCAGGAACAGTGCTGGAGCCCACCGGGTATGACCCGAAAACAAAACAGAGGTGAGGGGCTGGAGCGGTAGCACAGCGGGGAGGGCGTTTGCCTTGCATGCGGCTGACCCGGGTTCGATCCCTGCCATCCCAAATAGTCCCCCAAGCCAGGAGTAATTCCTGAGTGCAGAGCCAGGAGGGACCCCTGAACACAGCTGGGTGTGACCCAAAAACAAACAAACAAAAAAATTTAAAATAAAGAGAGGTGAAACATAAAGACTGGGCCCGGAGAGCTAATACAACACGGATTTGATCCCTGGCACCCCAGTGAACCCCACCAGGAGTGACCCCTGAGCACACAGCCAGGAGTGATTCCTGAGCACCATCAGGTGGGGCCCAAAAACAAATAAATGAAGAGAGGTAAATATGATCACCCTTCAGTTCCTGTAATGGAAAAAATAAGGCCCCAAGCGGGGAGGGGGAGAGGGAGGGAAAGAGGAAGGGGGGGAGAAAAGTGACTGCCATAGGGGGTGGCAGGGAAATTGGGGACATTGGTGGACATTGTGTACACTGTTGCAGGGACACTGCATGACAGAGACCCAACAGTGAACAACTTTGTAACTGTGATTCTCACAGTGATTCAATAAAAAAGAGAGAGAGAGAGAAAACACAAAGACACTATATATCACCCCCAAAAAGACAGCATCAGAGAGATCTGAAATGAAGCCCCAAGACCCAGGTTCAGAGACCAGAGAACCCCGGTGAAGAGAACATTTTCCCGGGAAGAGGCTCGGCCCACCCACAGCCGGCCTGAGCGCCCCGGGCTGGCCCACGCACTCCCGGGGGCCCAATGCGCACCCACACTTTCCCAGACACTTTCCCAGCCCAGACACTTTCTCCCGTGATAAGACGGAGGTGCCCGAGCAAGGCCAGCGCTGTGGGAAGCTTCAGGGCAGGAAGTGGGGCCAACGCACCATGAATCTGTGTGGCCACAGTATCCGGCAGTCGGGCTTCAGCTGCCCCTCGAGCTCAGACGGACACAAATTTGGACCCCCTACCCCCGTCCCTCCGGACCACGAAGCTTCCCACCCCACACCTGCCTCCGAGAGACCAGCTGGTCCCCAAAGCAAGCCCGGTCACTGCAGGGGCCCGGGGTCTCCTGCTCGGCCCTGATCCATCCTTGTTGGGCACCAGGGGACAAAAATCCAGGACTCGCGACCCCACTTCCTCTGTCCCTCACACACCTGACCCGCAGAGACACCGAGAAAGAACAACCCAAAAGGCTCCTCTGCACAGCCGCCTGCCAAGACTTGCCATCCAACAGCTATTAATTGTATTAATTGCATGGCTCTGCAGCGCTGCTCCTCCACCTCCTCTTCCTCCTCCTCCTCCTCCTCCTCCTCCTCCTCCTCCTCCTTGTCTGAGCCAGAGCAGGGAAAGGAAACCAGAGCTCAACACCGCAAACCTCCCGTGGGCTCGGAGCCCTAGTGCTGCGGCCGGCAGGCCCAGTAGGACAAAGTGTTGGGAGGTGACGGAGTGGTCTCCGTGCCAGAAGGGTCCCCTGGGGCCTGCATGGGTCCCAAGTCCTCCAGCTCAGGTCCTGGGCACCTTCGCCTGTGCCCGTCCTGCCTGGCTGCCCCAAGCCCCTCACTCCTCCGTGGGTCCTACCACCTGGTACCCGGCAAGACCACAGAGGGCAACTTTCGCTCCCTCTTGCCACCTTGGTGGGAGGTGGACCAACCACAGCCAAGAGCCCGGTGGGCAGGGAACATGCTCAGTTGAGGTGGGCAACCAGGAAGTGATTTGGGACAAACGGAGCCCAAGTGTCTCCACCAAGTGAACCCAGAAGGGACAGTGGCTTCTGCAACAGTGGCCGGCGGCCCCTCGGACCCCTCAGCCCTCCCCCTCCGCGAGGCTTGCCAGCTCTGGGTCTCCAGGATAAGGAGTTGGTGTCGCTGACCTCCCTGGGTTCCGGCGACAATGCCATCGGCTGGGGGGCGGGGGGCTCGGTTCCAGCGCCCTCCGGGCCCACGCCTGGCTCGGGCAGGGCCAGGGCCGGCGGGAGCAGCCTCCGTGCGGTGCAGGACTGCGCCCCGCGTCCACCCGCCAAACTCAGCCCGCAGTCGCGGGGGACAGGCGCGCAGAGACCCGCACGCCCGCCCCGAGCGGGTTCCCGGCCCGCAGGGACCCGGAGCAGAGGGCTGCGGGCGGGCGGGGGGTGCGGCCACACGGCGCGGCGGGGCGCCCCGAGATGCGGGACCGGCAGAGCCCGGAGTCCCCGGCCGCGGGGCTGCGCCCTCGGGCCTCCCTCCCACACACGGACTTCCCTGGAACTTTCCTCCCCGCAGCCCGCGGACCAACTTTCCGCAGCGCCGGCGGAGCGCGAGGCCGGGAGGCGACGCGCGGGCGGGGACGGGGATCCCGCCGCGCGCCCCGAGTGGGGGAAGCCCCGGCAGGGGCGGGGGGCGCGCCGCCGGGGGCCGGCCCCGGGCCCCTTACCTGCAGCTCCTGGAACGCGCCCTCCAGCTCGTGCCACTCGCGCTCGCAGCGCTCCAGCTGTCCCGACATGGTGCCGCGGCGCGGGCGGCGGCGCGGCCGGCCAGCAGCTCCCCACGCCCGCGCGCCCGCCGCCCGCGGCCCCTGCGCAGCCCGGCCACGCGCGCGGTGACGTCACGGCCGCCCGCCCCGCCCCGCGCACGCGCACGCGGCCCCGCGGGGCGCAGGGGCGGGGCGGGAGGGGCCCAGGGCGCGGGCCCGGCCGCGCGGGGCGGCGCACAGGCGGCGCTGTCCCCCACACGCCGTGTGGGTCTGTTTTTCTCCCGGCCACGGACCCGTCCCAGGCGCCTGCCCTGCAAGGCTTTCGGCGACGCTCCCTTTGACAGCTGCCGCTGACACGAGGTGACGCCCCCGCCCCCAGCGAATCGAGCCCGGAGCCCCGCCCCCGGGCGTGTCCCTGCCAGGCCCCGCCCCGCCCCGCTGCACCCCGCTGCACCCCGCTGCAGCCCGGTGCGGCCGCTCTGTTACCTGCCGGCCCTTGCGGAGAACGTTCTTCGCTCTGCCGTCGTCTCGTGCTCTTCTTTTTATCAAGTTGTGGGGGGCTGGGTGGGGGTGGCTTTCGAGCTCTGGTTGGGGGCCGAGAGGCTACTCCTGGTGACACTCGGTCCGAAGACCCAGGGAGATGAGGCAAACGCCGAGCACACGTTTTCCGTGCCAAACACCCAGAGAACCCCAGGTCCGGCAGGAGCAATTCCCCAGCGCAGATCCTGGGGAGCACCCCCAAATAAACTCCTGCTGCAGTCAAGTAATGCTTACAACTGGTGGTGCTAGATGCTAGCCAGGGTCCTGCATTGTGGGGGTTTTGAACTTGGGCCCTGGCATATGTGCCCCTGGTCTCTGAGCTTTCTCCTTAGCCTCTTCATTTTTGTTTCAAATAAGGGCTGCGGGGGCCGGAGGGATAGTGCATCAGGGGAGGCGTTTGCCTTGCGTGCAGCCAACCTAGGATCCATTCCCAGCACCCCATAGGGTACCCCTCAGGAGTCCACCCTGAACACTAAGCTAGGAGTCCTTCCTGAGCACCACAGGGTGTGACCAAAAAAAAAAATGGTCCTGGTGTGGCTTGACTTGCATCTGTTGCTCTGCCTCAGGTCACAGGGTCCTTCCTGTGCTGTGGCCTCAGCTCTGCCCTATTCCAGCCTGACCTCACTGTAATTGAACTAATGACCTCTGCTAAGCATTTTTTGGGTGCGGGGTGGGGGGAGAGGGGACAACTTCCAAGCTGGTGACTCTCAGCCAAGCAGGATGGCAGTTCTGTGCAAGGGCTCACAGATGAGGTGCTGGGGAAACCCAGGTCACCCTGGCAGGTGGCCCTGGGAGCCTCCAGAGCCACACTTGGAAGTACTCAGGGAACCTCCAGGGATGCACGGGTGATATTGGGGGCCATGCAGTGCCAGGAATCAAACCTGACACGTACATGCCAGGCACGCACTGGACCATCCCACTATCCCCCAACCCTGCAAAGACCTTATTTTAAAATTTGGTCACGTCCTGAGGTTCGCAGGTATGAAAACTTCAAACAGTGACCTTCCTGAAAAAGACCTCAGGGACTCCAGAACTGCCCGCCCCCTTCCTAAAAGTGATGCACCACTTTCTCGTCCACAAGGCACCACTGGACAGAACAGTCTAGAATTGTTGAGAACTGTCTGTGTCCCTCTTGGTTGGATGTGCCCCTCCACTGGACAAACAACCATCTGTCTGGGTGTCACTGGGTCCCGGAGCTCGGAACACAGCAGACACTCAGTATTAAAGATGTTCTTTGAGCCAAAATTCTTGACCTTGGGGATTCCGAGATACCCCCAAAACTGAATGGGGACCATGCTTTTAAACACCCAGAGACCGAATTACAACTCTAGGGGCAGGCTGAAAAGGCCAGAGAATCACCCGTCAGGAACTGCAGGCTCCTCTCTGTGGGGGAGGACCCCAGCCAACACGGCCCAGTCCCCAGCAGCACCTTGGAAAGACCCCTGCGTTCCCAAGTTCCCGAGGTTAAGTATGTGCTTCCTTCCCTCCCCGTCCTCCTCCTCTTCCTCCTTCATCTACTCCCTCCCCTCCCTGCCTCATTTTTATTTTAGCATGGCTAAAATTATTTCTGAGATTTGTACTGGGTGCAGTTTGGTTTACTGCAAACAATTTGATGCTTTGGAATATTTTTCTTGAAGAGGGCGGGGAAGGTTTGATCCGCCCCTGCAATGCTCAGGGACCATGCAGTGCCAGGCATGGAAGGGACTGGCAGCCTGCTCAGCACTGGGCCCCAACCCCTACACTATCTATCTAGCCACGGATCTTGTTTTGTTTTTTCCCCCTCTGGGATCACGCACACCCATGTCTAAATGTGTGTGGGACATGCATGGCCAGGGATGGACCCTGGTGCTCCTGTACACTGGCCTGTGCTCCAGCCCCGAGTGTCCCCAGCCCTGTTTAATCTTCATCTTTCAGCAGTTGAGGAATCTTTCAGTTGCTTCTAATTTGAGCCAATTATAAACAAGACTGCTATAAACATTTATATAAGGCTTTTCTTTTTATTTATTTCTATGTCTCCCTTCCTTCCTCTGCTATTTGTGGTGTTGGCTGTTTTCACTGCGGTGGCCAGGGGTCACACATTTGGTGGCGGTCCCCAGTGTTCACACACCCCGTTGTGGCATTAGGGATTCCCAAAGGCAGTGCCACCACTGGGGTCTGGCCGGACCCATGGGTGGAGCCAGGGATTCACCCGATTCTGGTGGATTATTTGCATTTTGGGCGCCCCACCCCACTCCACACGCCGAGAGCTGCCCAGCTGCTCTTCCCACCAGGCCAGCAAGAAGCGAGCATCACAGCTGGGTAGGACGGTGCGCAACCCAGCAAACACCAGAGCTGAAGGGAAGCCCTGGTCAAGCCAAGGCAACAACGGGAAAAGACTTTCGCATATTTAGCAGAAACAAGATAACCAAAACAGGGAAAGAACAATACAGTAGAACATTAATATCCATGGCCGGGGAAAACGGGCTAGGAGGACTGGTCAATGGTTGGAATCAATCACAAGTGTGGGGGGGGTGCAGAGGGCACGTAAGACAGAGGGGCTGGAGCGATAGCACAGCGGGTAGGGCGTTTGCCTTGCACGCGGCCGACCCGGGTTCGATTCCCAGCATCCCATATGGTCCCTTGAGCACCGCCAGGGGTAATTCCTGAGTGCAGAGCCAGGAGTAACCCCTGTGCATCGCTGGGTGTGACCCAAAATGCAAAAAAAAAAAAAGATAGAGAAGAGACCAGGATGACATTAATAGCTGGAAATGATCATGCAGGGCAAGAGCTGAATGTTAAAAGTAGGTAAAAGGATATTCCTGATAACCTTTCAGTATTTGTACTGCGAACCACTAAAAGGAGAGGGAGAGAAGGAGAGAGGGAGAGAGAGGAAGAGAGGGAGAGAGAAGAAAAGCTTCTACCATATAGGCAGGCTGGGGAGTGGGGCTGGGGGTGATGGGAGGGGAGCTGGGGACACTGGTGCCGGGAAATGTGCACCGATGGAGGGACGGGTGTTGGAGTACTGTGACTGGCTGGAACCTGGTCATGAACAGCTTTGTCAGGGTCTATCTCACTATGACTCAATTTAAAAAAGGGGGGAACAGGGCCCAGGAGGTAACTCAAAGGACTGGCACATGTTTGCATGCCGGGGTCATTCCCAACCCCACATAGTCCCCCCTCGCCAGCACCGCTGGGAGGAGCCCTGACACCACCAGGTATGGCTCAAAATTTAAAAAGAAAATAGGAAATGATACGTGAAAATCCATACTCTTCCTTTCCCTTGCAAATCTGAGGCCAGAGGGAGCGTCTAGGGGTTCAGGAACTAGCCTTACCTGGAACCAAGCCCAGTCCTGATCCCTGACACCACATGACCCTGACACATCACCAGGACCAACCCCAGAGTGTCCCTACCCCCAGCCCCCAAAAAAGAATAAATAAAGGAAATGGGAAGACCTGGTTAGACGCAGCCCTGAGGCCGCCTCTCTGTGTCACCTGCTGGGTGCAGGGGCAGAGCCCAGGGTCCCTGCAAAATCCAGGAGACTAAGAAGTTAAAGTTAACTCAAGGGGCGGGACACGAAAAACAGCGCCTTGGGGGTTAAGGGTGGCACCAAGCACAGGCTAGAGGGTGGACCTCCCACTGGCCCTTCCGCTCCCAGCAGCTCCAGGGGCTCCAGGCCACCTCCTCCCCATTCCTGTTGCCCTTTTTAAGCGCTTTACTCGGGAAATGCCAGTCGGAATTTGCCCAAGCAACCAGGGAGAATGGCGAGGGGCCAAGCACCAGCCCTGGGGTGCCCGGCACCCTCTGAACACTTCCCGCCCTGCACTTCCTCTCCTGGCCCCTCCCACAGGGGCCTCGGCGCTGCAGCTCCTTGGGGGGGGCAGATACCACCGAGCCAAACTTCACATGTACATCTTTGGAACGCGGGAGGAAATCAGAGCTCCAAGCTACCCAGACAGTGGCTGGAAAGATAGTACAGAGGGTAGAGCTTTACCCTGGCTCCATGATGCTCCCCCAAACCCCATCAGGAGTGATCCCAGACAGCAGAGCTAGAAATAAGCCCTGAGCACCTCTGGGTGTGCCCCCCCAAAATAAAAAGACAGACACAGCACCCACCACCCCAATACACTGGGTTTTGGTTTTTTGTTTGGATGTTATACCCTGTCTATATATACAGAGTCTCCTACCCTGTGCCTGACTATCCTCGCCAGGGCCCAACAGCTGAAGACCTCCAGGCCCCAACCAAGGCCTTACTCGGGCCACTCTTCACACACTTGGATAAGCCTCAGGCATAACAGAACTGGCAGAGGAACCCAGGTGTGTGGGACCCGGGGCTGAGATCTCCAAGCCTGCCCGGTTTGGGACTGGACCTGTCAGTAGCTAGACAGTTACACCCTCCAACTGCCGTGTAACCCCAACAACGGCCAGGATCCAGAGATTATCATAACAAGCTCCTGGGAGCACGCGGCTGCATTTGCGGCTGCACGACTATTTATTTACTTTTCTCTAAGTTTTCAGGGTACCTTTAAATATCCCACCCACACGGCAGAGCCTGGCAAGCTATCTGTGCTCTATGCCAAATAGACCAAATTGATATGCCAAATTCAGTAATAAA